GACAATATACAACACACAATATATATATATATATATATATATATATATATATATATTTACAAGACCACATTTAAAAAAAACACAACCATAACTTAAAAACTTAAAATCATTGCATTAACTAAACAAAAAACATCAACTCCTTCCTACCACATTTTACAAATTCCAAATCAAACAAACATGTAAATATAACATATTAAGACAATCATTAACATATCAATACATTGTATTTAAACAATAGAAATCAATCTCGTGAGCTTTACTTTCAAGGTTTGTAGATATATATAATTTTTAATCTTGAAATCTTCAAATAAAAATGAATTTTTAATGATGCATTCCCTTTTTTTTTTTTTATCTCTAAAACTAGTAAAATGGAATTTAATCCTTGAAATTTTGAACTAGATTGGATTTCTTAAACTTAAATCAAAGTTTTTTTTTTTCCTTATGTTTTCTTGTTTTTCTTCCCCCATTTTTCCTCTTATTACCTCTTTTTTTTATAGGCAGATTCAGAGCCTCTAAATGAGTTTATTAGGATTCTAACAAACTAAAACTAGGTTGGTTTCACCTCTAGATTAATGATTTTTTCTTTACGTGGTTTTGCTATTACCCAATGTGAAGTGTTTCTAACATTTTAATCTTAAAAGAATGCTTGTAAACCCTTGATAAGAACCCACTTAGAGTTTTTAAATGTGAACATACAAAAGAGTTAGCTGGTTTTGTGTAGATGAGCGTCTCAGTTAAGGTTGATTAGGTTGGCCATTTTCGTGACTTCGTTGGAGCAATATCAACATCAACATCGCCTGAGATCACCTAATCATGGTAGAGGAGATGCATATATTTTGATTTGATCCATTCTTACTTAATTTTAAGGTTCGTAGCTTCACTTTTATTTATTTAAAAGTGTCAATTCAATCAACATCGAATTTGAAAGTGCAATGATGGTTAATTAGAGACAAGATATTATTAAGATCATGAGATAAAATAGGATGAAAACATTTAATATTATGAAAATGAGGTTGTATAGGGGGTGTTTCTCAGTTAAATAGTAATGGTTATAGTTTTAGAGGTGGTTAGAAACACTGCATTCATTCATCTAAAAGTGCCTATGAGATCAAACAAAACTGTTGAAGAAGGTGCATAGTAGCTGAACGATGTAGTTTTGGCTAAACCTTATAAATTAAGATTTTCTAATTTGGGTTATGAAAAACTTCAAATAAATTCTTATTCTTTTAATTTCTTTTAATTTTACCCATAATTTTCTCTTGAATTTTTAATTTCATGCAATTTCAACTCTGTCAAATTCAATTGCTAGCCCTGGATTTGATTGCTTTTTATAGTTTGATCATTGGTTTTAATTTGTTTAATTGGATCCTTAATTGATAAATAAACTTTTAATTCTCTTCGATTTGACCTCTTATTTTACTGATTTCAATCCTTGAAGTCATCCGTCTTTTACAAGTTGATCATTAGTTTACGAATTGTTCAATTAAGTCCCTAATTACCCATTAGACTTTGAATTTTATGCAATTAAGCTCCTGATTTGACCAATTAAACTTTCTAGAGTTCAATTTCAGTCTCCCAACTTGAATTTGTTTCATTCAACACCCAATTGACTTCAAAAAAGTAATTTTTTTTTGTGATTAAATCCTCAATAAAATTACTTAAGCATTCAAAAAATTCAATTGAATCCTTAAACACCAAAATAAAAATATTTTCATCAATAAAATCTTTTGTCAATCAAAATTGAGTTGTTAATTTTGCCAATCTTTTACATTTTAGTCTCTCAACATTTTACCTGTCATTTTAGGTCTTCACCATCGACTTGGGTAGTCTTTTAGGTTTTTTTGGGTAGTCTTTTAGGTTTTTTTCATATGTATTCTCACGTATATTTTTTATTTAAGAAGGATAACAACAATGCTCATGCTTTTATGAACAAACATGCTGGATTCTCATTTGAGCCTATTTAATGAACATTGATTTCTCCTTTTTCTTTAGTTCATGTGTGAAAAGCAATTTCCATAATATGTGATTGGGTTCTATAACCTTTAATATAAACTCCCCTTCATCTAGGCAATGCATTTAGCATTATCCTCATATAATGCTGTCATTGCTTCTTTTATCAAATCCCCTGGTTCTTGATTTTCCATCTATGTGGGAGTTCTATCCACCTGAAGCTTTTCAATCTCAGCTATGCGAGTATACAGCCAAGCCAGACGGTTTTCTTGATTTCCATATCGAGCATTATTCCATTGTTTCAGGCCCTTTGCAATACAACTGAGCTTTTTCAAAAGCCTGAATCTCCTGGAAGTTCAATAAAAGCTGGCTGCCATGATGATTGAAGAGTTTCCTGAAACTGAAGATTATATAACCAGCAGTCAATAAATCGAAAAGGCCTCCATCCTTTATCTTGCTCATGGTTTCCTACAATCAATTGCCCGTGATCAGAAAGACCTCTTGGTAACATTCGTAGAATGGAATCTCTGAAATGTGAGTGACATTCAGGCGAAGAAAATGCTCTATCGACACGGCTCCTAGAGCCTCCTCTAAAACATGTGAAGCTATGCCCCGTTAAGGCATGTTCAATCAAGTTACAAGAATCTAAAAATCTTTTCAAGTCATTAGAACCTGCAGCATTGATGAATCTACTGTTTCCCTCACCCTTGGCCAAAGTCTCATTAAAGTCACCAATCATTACCCAAGGAATGTCAAATGCAGAATTCAGAATGATCAAATTCCTCCATGAAGACTGTCGCTGATGCACTGTGCAGGGGGCATAGATTCCCACTACTGCACAACGAAAAGAAGATTCATCAACCCCCTCTGTAGAGCTGTCCGTTGCTGTGTTTTGAAAGCATCCTGTATTGGAGAGAAACTTTAAATTTTGGGCTTTACTCCTCGGAGACATGCTGTGAAGTCAAGCGAGTGCCATGGGCCTCTGCGATGAGTTCTGGTGTTCAGTGCTAACTATAGTAAATCTTGTTTCAGATATATGAGCAGGGAGCCCATTTACTGAGAGCCGAATAGCTGTGAAACCTCAATATCCAGGTCCATGTAGGCTATGGTATTTGACAACAGGATATTATTGGAAGAAGGATGAGTATAATATAAAATAAAAAATAAAAAAAAAGTAATGTAAAGTCACAAACTTAAAAATAAATAAAAAATTTGAGTGAAAGATATTTTTTTTTTCTAAGCTTGTTTATCTATCCTTTTTCTTTATGCTATTTAATAATACTAAATTAAAAGTATTTTTATAGGCATAAAATTCTAAATAATTAAGGAATTAAATTAATATAAGAAAATTCTAATATGAACATGAATTGTATTTTGTCAACTAAATCGATCGATCAATTTATTTAATCTAAGTGATTATCCAGTCTCAACTAGTCAACTTGTTCTCAACTAATTGACCAGTTCAACTAATTTCTAAAAAATCAATTT